TAATGTTTGTATTCCGTTTCCCCTTGTTTAATTGGATTGCATCCGGGATGAAAGTAAGATGTTTCCTTTGTAACTATTTAGGTACGATACTTTATTGTTTACCCATTAAATAGTCAAATAGAGCCAAGATCTCAGGGACGAAATTTCCTTATTCCCTGCACAACAAGTAATGGAATATGCTTGTGGGTGTATTTCTCATCCCTTACATGATGAGAAACTATTTTTTTTCACGACCTGTTCTCCTTGGAGGATATCGGGAAAACTAAAGATACAATGTGTGTCACGTGAGTGTAGTTGACCGATTCTTTCTCCCGATTTTTTTAGGAGGTCATTCTGTTTATTGTCAAGCAATCCCAAAGTCCTTTCCTAACATTTCTTAGAAGGTCATTCAGTTTGCTGTTAAGGGACCCCAAATTCTTTTCCTGACCTCTCCTAGCCAAAACACGACTCAGTCCAGATAAAGTAAAACATAAAAAGAGGGAAAGAGAAGGAGAAACACAAATAGAGCGCTTCTATTAATAAATTTGTTATACATCTGATTTAACAATTAACATTGAGAGTCATGTCACACACACACACATACACGCACACACACACACACACACACACACACACATATATATATATATATATATATATGTGCGTGTGTGTGTGCGTGTGCGTATGTGTCTGTGTGTGTTTGTGTGTGTGCGTTTGTGTCAGAAGGCGAGTACTGACAATTTCTCGCATGATCAAGATGCCATTTGAAAAAGACTATTTGATTTCTTCTCGTTTGTTCAAATTTTGCAAAGTGGGCCTAGCTGGCAACTTTTCTGCACCTGCCGCTTGTAACCGAGTATGCCTGTCTACTAGGGTAGCTAGCTAGTTTCTGTTGCAGACGCCTGCTCAATCATATTTAGGCTTTTTCAACACCGAAAGAGCCTACCTGTGGTTTACTATGTTGAGCGGACCTTAGTTACAGTTTCTGGGAAAAGACGCGTTATCTGGGGTGATCAACACACTGAACAAGTTCGTTAAAACCCACGATGTCACGATGACTTGCGCTAGTGACTTTGTGCTAACACAACCATCGACGGCTTCCAAAATAGTTTCATCTACCCAATTTCACTTACAATACTTAGGTCAACCCGTTGTATGGTTTTAAGGCACTTTCCAAAGGTTTCACCCTCTGGGATCGCCTCCCCGGCCGATAATATCAAGAAGTCACCTCCCTGGTTTGGAAAGAGAAAGGTTCTAACCACCCAGCCACGCGCCCAACATACATACATTCATATAATAATTCTGAAGCCGGTGTATATAAAAGAAAAAATAGAATAGAAATAAGGTTCTACAGAAGAAATTTATGAAATGCATTAGTCATACATAGAAATAAATTCAACCGCATTTTTGGTCTAAAGAATGTCACACTCATTAAAAGAGAAAGTAAGTTAATTAGACGGAAAAAATCTCGAGAGGGCCGCTATCGAATCGAATATCAATCTTCGACCCGGAATTTTTTGAAATATCTCCTTTCCTGAAAGAATTACTCCTTTCCCAAGTCAACATACATGACTATAAAAATGTTAAAAATTAAAAGAAAACAGTTAAATTCATAGTCTCCTGTTATTTAAAATATATAACACATAAATTAATCCCGAACTAAAATAATTTAAATATTAATTTGCATAAACAATTCAAGAACATCCTTTACTCACTTTCGTTTATTGGACATTAAATCATGTCAATTAGCTTCATCTATAACGTACCAAGATTTTTCAATTAACCTGATTAATATTTATGAGCGTTTCTTAAATTTAAATTTAAAAAAAAAACTAGCATTTTTGGTCTTATCGCGAAATACTTGTTGTAAAATAAAATTTTTGCATTTGCTATGATAAATTCTCTAAGAGGGCGAAACGCGTCGGTTACGATAAGTTTTACATTTGTCTTATTCATATTGTCCTTTTACAGATAGAAACTATCTGAGATTTTACACATACATACATACATACATGTTATTGTAACAACATCAATAAGGTTGAGTATGGTGAAGATTGTAAGCACTTCTGGTCCCACTAGTGAATGCTGGGTGCCAAACGGATCCAGCAGCAATTTGAAGAAAGTCGTTAAGTTTGCCACGTCTCGTGTCGTCTTTGTGTTGCTCCGTCTTTTCAGCCAGTCTCATATAATTTATCTTTTCACCTAATATATATATATATATATATATATATATATATATATATATATATATATATATATTCTTTCTTTAACTGTCATCAACATTCTCTTGAGACTAGTATTATGCAGCCATATAATTGTTGGTTAATATGCCATATTATCTTACTTGCGCATGCTTGTACTCATATATTTCTTGCTTTAAATTATAAACGCCATTATTATTATGTGATCGATCAGTTTTCATTATGTTAGCCATGCTCGCCCGACGGCAGAAGCAACTCCGAATCAAGTGATCAGATCAACTTGACCTGACCACAATTCTTACTGCTTGCATGAGAGCTTGTTTAAAACGAACTTGTTTTATTGTCTGCTGTCTAGCAAACAACTAAAGTTCATATTTCCTGTTTAAACATGTTTAATAGGTTCTGAAAGTTTTAAAATTTGCTGCAGTATGATGGCATTCGTATTGCAATGTTCTGTTGTTTTCTTTGGTTAATGCCATTGTTACAGTTTACAGCGTTTTGATCACGAAACGCGCATACTGCTTGACTGAGCCCGCTCTGGGTTCCATCACGTGACGAGTCCTAGTGATTACCGACATGGGTTTGAAATGTAAATATTCAACAGCTACGCAATAGCAACGCCGGATGAAATTTCATATTTGATTTATCGCTGGCCTGACAACTCGAGGCATATGCCAGTTGTAAATAAATCTGTGCCCCGAATTAGCACGGAAATTGCAAATGGCAAATGTTCACATGAGCGCTCCAGTCATCATTTTCACCATTTCAGACCTTTCTAGAGAGGACACACCATGCTACATCCACGGAGACTCTCACTTCCCCCGTGTTCCGACAACCTTTAACGAAGGCTCCTGCGTGGATGCTTTCCCGAACACTACAGGCCAAGGATCAGTTGTTAATTATCCTGCTTATCCTCATAAATTTCTCTTTCTACGACCATCTCATTGATTTATATCACACAACTCATTCAGTAAACCTCTATCTTGAACGGTTTGTATTGCGCTCATAATAGATCAAACTTTTTTGTTAGAAGCACCAAATCAACAAGCTATCAATATTTTTCATAAAATTAATTTTACGTCAGAGGCCTTTACGAAATTCAATTTAAAGAGTGTCTTTGAATAAAACTGATTTTTCTTTTTCGATTACCACCTAATAAACACTATTAATATTTTAACTGATTTTTCAGCCTTCTTCTTCACCTTTTTTCCTTCTTTCTTCTTCTTCTTTATCTTCTTCTTTATCTTCTTCTTCTTCTTTATCTTCTCTATCTTCTTTTTCTTTATCTTCTTCTTCTTTATCTTCTTCTTTATCTTCTTCTTCTTCTTTATCTTCTTCTTCTTTATCTTCTTCTTCTTCTTTATCTTCTTCTTCTTCTTTATCTTCTTCTTTATCTTCTTCTTCTTTATCTTCTTCTTTATCTTCTTCTTTGTCTTCTTCTTCTTTATCTTCTTCTTCTTCTTTATCTTCTTCTTCTTTATCTTCTTCTTCTTCTTTATCTTCTTCTTCTTCTTCTTCTTCTTCTTCTTCTTCTTCTTCTTCTTCTTCTTCTTCTTCTTCTTCTTCTTTATCTTATTCTTCTTTATCTTCTTCTTCTTCTTCTTCTTCTTCTTCTTCTTTATCTTCTTTTTCTTCTTTATCTTTTTCTTCTTCTTTATCTTCTTCTTCTTCTTTATCTTCTTCTTCTTCTTTATCTTATTCTTCTTTATCTTCTTTATCTTCTTCTTTATCTTCTTCTTTATCTTCTTCTTTATCTTCTTCTTCTTCTTCTTCTTTATCTTCTTCTTTATCTTCTTCTTTATCTTCTTCTTCTTCTTCTTCTTCTTTATCTTCTTCTTCTTTATCTTCTTCTTCTTCTTCTTTATCTTCTTCTTTATCTTCTTCTTCTTCTTCTTCTTTATCTTCTTCTTTATCTTCTTCTTCTTTATCTTCTTTATCTTCTTCTTTATCTTCTTCTTTATCTTCTTCTTCTTCTTCTTCTTCTTCTTTATCTTCTTCTTCTTTATCTTATTCTTCTTTATCTTCTTCTTCTTCTTCTTCTCCTTCTTCTTTATCTTCTTCTTTATCTTCTTCTTCTTCTTCTTTATCTTCTTCTTCTTTATCTTCTTCTTCTTCTTCTTCTTCTTCTTCTTCTTCTTCTTCTTCTTCTTCTTCGTCGTCGTCGTCGTCGTCGCCGCCGTGTCGTTAGTATCAAATTTTCCAAGCCTTCTTTCCTCATTATGTACCCGAGAAATTTCAACAGTCTCTTTCTGATATTAAGTATGACAGAATTTTTTGTTTCCATTTTCTATAAAACATCATCATTACTCAAAAGTTCAGTGATTGGTATCCTCAGCATCCTTCTGTAGAACCTTATTTCTATTACTTCAAGTCTCTTCTTCATCTGTAAGGAGATTTTCCAGCATTCACAGCCATATAGAAGGACTGATCTTAGCACTATTTTCTTTAATTCTAAAGAAATTTTCCTGTTTCTTAATACTTTGCTTAGCTTTTGAATAACACCATACATTAACACAATGAACATTTGGATTTCCGTTATTGAATTTATAAAATTATTTTGGGATTATTATTTATGGGTTGTTTTATATTTTGCTTCAATTGCAAAATAGGTGAATCAACACAGAAAAAAAAATAGAAAACAAAATATCCTAACACTTTAATTTTGAAAGCGGTAATAGGTTTTGTTCAGTTAATAGGCCGAGGCAAAGGATTTGGGAATTTTTTTGACAAAATATTTTCATATAAATTTATAATATCATTATTCAGTCATCAAAACATTTCCCTAGATTTATAAAAGATGCGGCCACTTTTCATAGGCTTACAACCACAGCACGTTAAAACATTGGTTCTCGTAAGATCACCGAAGTTAAGTAATGTTGAGCCTGGTTAGTAGCTACATGAGTGACCGTTCAGGAATACCAAGAGCTGTAAGCTTGGATGTGCGAGTTTCAATTCACTTACGGGTAGATACCCTTGGGAATGGTAAGAATATATCTCCTCTCCTATCAACTATAGGTTAATATTTAACATTCCCACTCCCCACGAGGGATGTATATGGCACAAGGCCGAGTTTACCGTGGGTTCTCCGAGCCCGTAGTCTCGACCAAAAATATTCCCGTAGAACCCGCATAAACGGTGTCGGGCCTGTATACCTCCCCGGACGAAACATTACCCTTCGGCAAAGCCTCGTCCGGGTTCCTCTCTGCTCAAGGCAGAGAGTTTGACAGTAACGAACAGGCTTTAGAAGTGTTCCCCGAACAGGCTGTAGCACTGTTCCAGGTTAATTAAGGAAATAGCGACAATGCGAATTCTCATTAAACCGACAAACTTTCCCTTCCGCTAACTGCTTGCATTGTCTCTTCCTCACTGGCCGTTGGGCTGCTACTCATTCGCTGGTCACCTACCTACTTATTGATTTCTTGCCCCTCACTACTTATATGGCTACTGCCTGGAGTTCGACCACCCCTATCCGTCCGTTTGTGATCCGGAACAAGAGCCCACCTATTCAGGTTTTTGGGTGGTCAGCTTCTTCAAAGGACTACTTTTATGATTATCTAAAATCATTAACAAAATTTTATATTTGCCAGTTCAAAGGCGGGCTGGAGACAGAAATCCTGAAACCACTGACATTTAAGTTGACTCAAAGATGGACCGAAGACGAAATTCCTAAGAAACTCAGATAATTAAGTGGACTTAAAAAGAAAAGGAATTTATCTCTTAACCCTTTGACCCCTGTGTTCCTGGACAATTTTAACCCTTCTGCCTGAGCTCACGAGTCAAATTTCGCTAATAATTGGTATGTAGTGTTTCACGGTAGATACAAAAATACTTACAAGTGTTTATCCACCGTTCAACCGGTAGCTGGGTATTAAGTCATTTTTCTTTACCACTATTCAACCTGTGGCTGGGTATTACGTCATTTTTCTCTACCACCGGTAAAGCGGTGGTCAGGGCTCAAAGTGTTAAGTCTGTGTGAGAAATCGTATTGTTACAGTATTGTCACCGGTTAATTGCTATACCACCAATACCATATGTATTTTCTCTATTTTGTCTGTCAATGAAGGTTCATTCAAACGAGCTAATTATTTATCGAGGTTCCTCACATTATTTAAATAAGGTTGTTGATATAAATTCTTATGTATATTTTTGTTTTTCGTGTTTAATATTTCTTCAAATATTTGTTCATTTCTTCAATTATCAAGATCCGGGGATTTATAGAACATTCTTTGTCATTGAACTCAAATTCTGTGTTTTCTTTTGCAAGCTCATGCTTTCACTGATTGCATAATTACCGTGACCTTATCTTGTTTCCACTGGGGTTGTTCCAAGTAAAACATTAGAAGACACAATGTCGATTGTGAATTTTATATTCAGCCATTATCTTTTTTAATGTTCAGATTGATTTCACTTGTGATCTATGCAACAAAGTGTGCAGATCAGTGAGTGGACCTATTCGTCATTGTAAGTCATAGCACCATGAAGACGATGCAGTAAGTGGTAACTTTGCTTGAAAAAAACTGTAGTTTAAAGTATAGGTCACTCGTCTGGATAAAGAGTCACCAAATACATCATCAGCGGCAAGGAAAACTAAAGTAAATTCACGGAAGTGGTCGTACTCGAACAGGAGTTAACTTTTCAGCATGTATGTACGAATGTACATATATACATACATATATACGGTCAGTGGGCTCAAGGGAAATGACCAGCACACAAGCCGAAATTTAGGAATAAAAGTAGCATCAAGAACCCACTGTAGAAGGTCAATATCTTGCAAAATGACTAACTCGGTCATCTTGGAAGAAAACGGTGCAAACTCTTAAGGATCGTGTCACACATGAAATAAATCAAAAGAGAGGGTCATGGTGTTAATTTCTCTGAAAATATTGCTACAAAATTTAATCTGATATATAATATCGCCCGAATGCAAGACATCCGTCAATCCTGAACAAATCCTCTTACCAGAGTACGCATCGGGCAAGAGACTATGTGGAGTCCCATGTTTTTTTTCCGGCAAATACAGGTAATTGTCGAAAAAAAAAAATTAACTGTTCACCGATGCAACCTGTGGTTGCTAGAAAAAAGATTCCTCCTCAAAAATATCAATGAGCGAAATTTACATAATAAACGAAATGAAATTATGTTAACTTGTATACATAGAAAAACTCTCTTAAAGTATTTTAATTCGGAAAACTCGCTCTGATCGTACTGATAAGGAAAGAACTTCCAAATTTGGTGGTGAAGGCCACCGACTCAAAACAGAGACCTACATCAAGTGCCTTGAGGATTTAGTGCTGACCTGGATTAAGAGGGTGCCTGCTAGAAGATCGTATGTCTGACACAGCACTCTGCAGCATGCTACACAAGCAGGAGAACACAGTCATGGCTGTCAGAGAATTTCTGCGACGACATCATTCCATACATCTGGCCACCTAACTCCCTAATCTGCAACCCCCTTGATTATTATGTGTGGGGCACAGTTGAGTGAGAGACCAACACAACTCCTTGTAACACTAAAGATGAAGTGATGGCAAGAATTATGATAGCATTCATTCACCAACTTAAACAAGGAGATCATCCAGAAGAGTTGCAGGAGATTCAGAAGTCGACTTCTTGATTGAAGCAAATGAATATTTTATTGAATAAATTTACTCTTTAGTATTTCAAGATATGTTGGTGTAATTTTGGTAAATATATGTGTTAAAATGAAATGTCAGTATTATTTTAATTTTTACCCTATTTAGACGACAATTTATCTATCGCACCATGCCTATATAGATATATAGTTATATAAGTGTTTATGTGTGCATACATGCACCTAAAGCATTGCACAATAGTAAAAGAGAGTTTGAACAGAATCATGTTGCGCATGAAAGACTCAAGAGAGATATTCATAAGGGTCATGATGTTAATTTCCCTGGAAATATTGCTATAGAATTTGATCTAATGTGGAAAGAATCTGTTCATGTTTGTCTCAGTAGAGCAGGCTCAGGAGTCAACAAAGGTACAGCACACACACACACACACACACAGAAGTCATTCACTAAACAATATGTGGCTTATTATTTGCAGAGTATTCAGTTGGTTGGCGAAAACGTCATATGAAAGTTTATCAAAATATTAATGTGACGTCTACTACAAGAGCCGCCTAACGTTAACACGTTTGTGCAAAGGAATCTAAGACCCTAGCAGAACTAAAAACACATCTTTGCTGCCCAATGGACAAATCAAAAAAAGATATCTGTAAGGCTCTTGTTTTTTAATTTCTCTGAAAATATTGCTATCAAATTTGATCTGAGTGTGAAAAGGAATGTGCCTCAGTTGATAGATTACAAATTCATTGCAGTCTCAGTTCAAAAATGGAAGGTTCAAAGTCACTCTCAGTACCTTCACGCTTGTCCAGAACAGGGAAGTGACCTACCTTTGAACAACCTTTTTGCTAAATAAGTCAAATAATCCGATAAGCCGTTGTAGCTTTCTCCTCTTCCACTTGTCTCTGGTCTTAAGCAGTCGAAAAATCCGCCTACTCAATGCAACAGAACATTCGCCCAAACGCGCCAATCCTCGTTTCTATCTTAGTACAATTCTTTTTCTTCATCTTCTTTGTATCTTATTTCTAATGTCTTTGTATAATGCCCTATACGATTACTTGGCTTTATTTGCTGTCGTTTCTTTCGCAACATCAAAATATTTTCAGAACATCCAAAAAAAAAAAAAAAAGGAAAAGAAAAGGCGATTCTGTCGTCGTTTCTGTCTTTTTATGCTGCCTGCTTACCCATATTTCATACTGTCTGCTTCCATTACTATTTAATCTGACATTGTAGAATTCCATTGGGCCAATTGTCTTTTATTTTTCTTCAGTAATCTTTAGACGTGTTACGTTGTGTATCGAAGTATATCAACTCTTTAATGTTTTTTTTTGTGTGTGAAAACTTCTGTCATAGAATATTAGAGTCAGATGTAATCTCAGATGAATGAGAACTTACTATCAGATCACGTTGAAACAACGGTTCCCGTAGGATCACAGAAGTTAAGCAAAGTCGAGCCTGGTCAGTAACTAGATGGGTGACCGCTTGGTAATGCCTTGTGCTGTAAGCATGTATGCGCGGGTAAGTGTAATAAATAATGGCTCATTATTGTTAATTGGGAAGCGGAGTTCCAATTCCCGTTGGGTTCGTTATATTCACTTACGCTCAAATATCCATGGGGAAGATATGAATCCACCTCTTCTCCCTACAGCTGTGGGTTAATTAGTAAGACTTGTATCACTTAACCATTATTATCTAAAATAATTATTGCTATCTAAAAATATTATCTGGCGTTAAATAACCCATAAAGTGTTGATAAGTCTTATAAAACGAATTAGCGATCAAATCAATCAATCTTTCATTAATTTCCCGACATAACATAATAATATAAAGGGGACTCCTTCCTCGTTTCCACCTTTTTATGCTGCTTGCTTACCCACAATTCATATTGCCTCCTTCTGTTATTATTTAATCTAAAAATTTTCATTTAACACTTTTCACTTCTCTGGGTAAGTCAGAAAAAGTTTTTTTTTCCTATATCTGTCTGTTGCTTTTTCTCCTTCTTCAACTACAGTCATATAAGTATTCATTAAAATATCAATGTAACTACAGAAAGAGGCGCCCAACGTTGCCACACCTGCGCAAGAGAATGTAAGACTCTAGCAGGACTAAAAAGCCACATTGGCGCTGCCGATATTTGAAGATAAATCAAGCGACTTGAAATCGAGTCGCAGCCTCCATTTTTATATTTGCATGCATGTATACGAGATCATTTTCATATATGTAAATGAGGTTAAAACATAAAATTTAACTAAACGTTTTGCTTGTGATTTTACTCATATGTTATTCAAATAAATTCGAAGAAATGCACACTAAGCGATAGAGGAAAAATATGCACAAGAGGCAAAACTGCAAAACACAATAGAAGCGAGATGATAATAATAGGTCATTGTTATTTTGTATGTCGTGTAGATTTTTGAGTGAACGAATAAACAACTACAATAGCGAATCGATATGTGACTAATTGTTGGTTTCGATGTTACATTATATTGACGTACGACTGCATTTCAGTTCTATATATGTATGTATGTCAGATGTATGCATGCATGTATGTATATATTTAACAATCTATCTCATTCTTGTATATTATCTATGTATCTATCTAAATTATGTATATTATCTATCTAAATTATGTGTACTATCTATCTATCCATCTAAGTTATGTATATCATCTATCTAAATTATGTGTACTATCTATCTATCTATCTATCTATCTATCTATCTATCTATCTAAATTATGTATATTATCTATCTAAATTATGTGTACTATCTATCTATCTATCTATCTATCTATCTAAGTTATATTCATTATCTACCAATCTAATTTAGTCTCTCTCTCTCCCTTTCTATCTACCCCCAGTCTGTTTTTCAGTCTGTTATCTATCTAAATTATGTATATTATCTATCTAAATTATGTGTACTATCTATCTATCTATCTATCTATCTATCTATCTATCTATCTAAATTATGTATATTATCTATCTATCTATCTATCTATCTATCTATCTATCTATCTAAATTATGTATATTATCTATCTAAATTATGTGTACTATCTATCTATCTATCTATCTATCTATCTAAGTTATGTTTATTATCTATCAATCTATTTTAGTCTCTCCCTCTTTCTATCTACCCCAGTCTGTTTTCCCAGTCATCTATCTATCTATCTATCTATCTATCTATCTATCTATCTATCTGTTGCTTATCCTTTTTTTATACGTTTTGAAAAATGAATCAATCTAATTGCAACTGTAAATGGAGTGAAAACGAAATTCTGCCTCTAATTTTTGATGCAAATGTTTTTTTACAACTTTTTTCTTTTTATCTTCATTTTAACTAACTTCTTTCTGTTTTTCCCAATATCTATAAATTTCAGCATAATTTGCTGTGAGGGGTTACCAGTATGTATGCTGATGAAGTATTGTTTTATTCTAAAGGAATGTTCCATTTATAACAATAGCAAATATCGATTAATCATTTTCAATTTAATGAAAGCATATTGTAGTAACGAGCCGCTGCTTTCTGTCCTCTGTTTATGATAAACGTGGATAGAGTAATTCCAAAAACTGAACATAACCCAATACTGCGTACTTCATTGAACCTTTTAATATAAGGATTAAAGGCTTTAATTAAACGAATTTGCTGAGAAAGTATTAAGAACAGTAATCACGTAGACAATTGCAATGCTGTCTTGAAGAATGAAGTATTATTTTAAAGAAATTTTAAATAATAATAAGTAAACTTTGCTTCTATATAATTTTAAATGTATGTTTTTAACACTTTCTCATAAACAGATCATTCCATAACAATAGGCACATGTATTGCAGGATCAACGCGCTGATAGGAGAACCAAACGGTCTACTCCAAAAGTAAGTTATAAAATCTATCTTTTTTTGTTGTTGTATCCTTAAAAAAGGTTACAAACAGACAAAAGTGGTACTCGAGTGAAGGAACTGTAACATGCGAGTAGCTGAAAGAAAGAGAGGTTTATTGTAAAAGAGAATACACTATTGAAAGATAGGGAATCGAGTGGCAGGCTAGTAATTCCGGGAGCAAGAATATCTACTAGCCGCCCCAAGCGGTCAGATGTGGCACAAGGCCGAATTTAATGTGGGGTGTCCGATCCCTATGTTCAGCCAAAAACTCCCCTTATAAACGGAATCGGATAGCTGTTTTCCGAGACGGGGCTCTGCCCTTAGACATACTAATCTGGGGATCGTCTCTGTCCGGATGCAAGATCTTGACTAGCACAGTTGGAAGCGGATCTCTAACTCGAGATAAATTCCCGAAGCAAGGATATTTACCTTACCACCCTCCCTGCGTGGCAGGATATGGCACAAGGCCATTTTTAATGCGGGTTCAAAACCGAGATCGTAGGCTCGGGCAAAAATTCCCCGTAGGCCTCGTATACAGGGGGTCGGGAAGCCTCGGCATAGCTTCGTCTGGGTTCCTCTCCGCCATTAGGCAAGCTTATCTGGAGACGAATCTCCAACTAATTGCCGAAGCACGGATATTTACCATACCCCAATGGCAGGATGAGGCACAAGGCCATTTTTCATGAGGGGGTTAAAAACCGAACCCGTTGACTCGGGCAAAAATTCCCCGTAGACCCCGTAAAAAACGGGTAACTGTCAACCACCCCAGACGCGACTCTGCCCATTGGCATAGCCTCGTCTCGGCTCCTATCTGCCCGAAAGCAGAGAGTTCAACCAGCTCAGTTGCAAACGAGTCTCCAACTAATTGCCGAAGCAAGGATATTTATCTTACCTCCCCCGAGGCAGGATGCGGCACAAAGCATTTTTTTTTAATGCGTGGCAAAACTCGTCTGGGCTTCTCTCCGTCCGACTGGGATTAGCTGGAGACGAATCTCCAACTAATTGTCGAAGCAAGGATATTTGCCAACCGCCCGATGCGGTCAGATGTGGCTCAAGGCCGAATTTAACGTGGGGTATCCGAGCCCGTAGGCTCGGTCAAAAAATTCCCAGTAAAAAACGGGGTCGGATAGCTGTCTACCACCCCAGACGAGACACTACCCTTCGACATAGCCTCGTCTGGGTTCCTCTCCGCCCGCCGAAACCAGAGAGTTCGACCAGATTAGCTGGAAACGAATCTTCAACTAATTGCCGAAGCAAGGATATTTGCCAACCGCCCGATGCGGTCAGATGTGGCTCAAGGCCGAATTTAATGTGATGTATCCGAGCCCGTAGGATCAGGCAAAAATTCCCCGTAAAAAACGGGGTCGGATAGCTGTCTACCACCCCAGATGAGACTCTGCCCTTCACCATAGCCTCGTCTGGGTTCCTCTCCGCCCGAAGGCAGAGAGTTTGACCAACTTAGCTGGAGACGAGTTTCCAACTAATTGACAACGCACCCCCCCAGATATAGTCTACTGATATAGTCAGTCCACATAGGCGATAGGGGGTATGGGACATTCCATTACAACATTTTTCTAATAAGAAAGTATGAAACTATTTTAAACTAGTCTATTTCGGTGTCCTTTGAAGACAGGAAATTATGGAGAGCCTTGATCGCGAACAGGCTTACGGCCATATCCCATTTAAACCCTGGTTCTTGTTCTAGCATCGAAGCTATGAAACATCGAGCTACCTCAGTAAATAGCTGGGTGATCGCTTGAAAATAACAAGTGCCATGAACTTGAAAGCGGGTGGAGGTGTAGTGGATAAGGTTGAGAAATCGGAGAGCAGAGTTCGAATTCCAGTCGGGTTCGTTATATTCACTTACATGCAAATACCCTTGGGAAAGATATGAATTAATTTCCACCCAGCTATGGGTTAAAGAGTACGGCGTGTATCTGAAAACCAATACTACCTAAAAAAAATCTGTTAATAAAATATTCACTCACAAAGAGAAAAGAATTTTTCTTATAATGCAAAATATGTTTCGGCTTTTGCAAAAAGTTGATAAAACTTTAAAAAAACAAAACAAATAAAAACAACAACAAATTAATCATGGTCGCCAATATCCTGAAAACATGACACAGAATAAGAAAAGAAAAACGAGGAAAAGAAGAAGACGAAGGGGTGGAAGAATAAAAGAAGAAGAAGAAGAAGAAGAAGTAGAAGTAGAAAAAGAAAGATGAAGAAGACAAAGAGGAAGAATGAAAGGAAGAAGAAGAAGAAGAAAGAAAAGAAAGAAGGAGAGAGAAGAAGAAACATGAATAAGAAGATAAAGAAAGACGGAGAAAGAAGAAAAATAATAAGAAAGATGAAGAAGAAGAAGAAGAAGAAGAAGGAATAATAATAATAAGAAGAATATGAAGAAGAAGAATGAAGGACAAAAAAGAAGAAGAAGAAAGAAGAAGAAAAGAAGAAGAAGAAAAGGAAGAAGAAAAAAGAAGATGTCGATTTGTGTGAGAATTCTAATCTTGCTTGTTACAGTCACAACGTTTCGGGAATTGTAGTTTCCTGACTGTCGTAAGAGTTAAGCAGAAATACCCAGAAGCAGAAGGTTAGCAGAAGGTTACTGAATCTGATAGACAACTGAAGA